AACTGTGCTGTGTGATGGTGACATTTTATCCAAACAGGCCACTTTTGTCCATGTGGCCCCTTTAATGAGTCTGAACCATTGTGGAGGATCCCTCCCGTAACACGACAAATGGAGCGAACCGGCTGGCTGAGGGCTCTGAGTTGGAATAAATGTGTTTTTACACCGCTCTTGGCTCAGGCTCAGGCTCTGCCATCTGTGGCAGAGTGTATTTCATGTGAAGTGGGCCCTTGACTGCGCTGAGATAATAAAGGATTAGGCTTGAAAAGGTTTGTCAGCAAATCTCGGCTCGGCTCTCCGAGCAGCCTGGCAGGCAGTGACTCCACAGAGCCGGGCAGAGGAGCCCACAGCCTGCCATGGACACCTGTGGATGAGGAGAGGAAGAAGTGTTAATATTCAAGCTAAACTTGGTTGTTGTTTTTGTTTTTATTTTTTTTTAAATCCAGCCTGTAATTGGAAGAACAGCCCTTTATAGTCCCGATAATGGCATCCAGCTCCGTGTTGGAAGAAAAGAGCTGCAGTTTGCTCAGTGAGGGCCCTGTTTAGCATTCCCTGCTGCCAGGAAAGTCCCATTGTCTCCAGCAGGAGCTTTGCCTGACTGAAACAAAAGGAACTGGGAATAGGGACAGAAATAACCCAGCACAATCCCCAGGCCTCCTCACCCGGAGCTCGGTGTGGACACACACTGCCCTGTTCCTGGGAATTTCCACCTCTATCCTGAGCATTTCAACCCCCATCACCTGCAGCTCCATGGGGACACCTGGGAACGCTCACTTTGGGCATTAATGGGTGCAGCTGCCTGTCTGGAAATCACTATTTTTGTTATTTTGTGGAATATAATAATATAATATTACTAGTTAAGTGTCCAAGGCCAGGGTGGACAAGGCTTGGAGCAACCTGGGGTGGTGGAAGGTGCCCCTTCCAACCCAACTCATTCCATGATTTTATGATTCCATGATATGTAACAATGGGGACACATTCCAGGGAGCTTAAAACTGGTGAGGATAAAAAGCTGGTCCTGGTTTTGACTTTCCCTGTGTCCAAATCCCAAGGAAATTTAAAAACAAACCACCAAAATTAATAGAAATAAGATCATAATCTGGAAATATCTCATAAACTGGGAATAACCCATAGAAATGGGGTATTTAATCAGGCACATAGAGCTCCCTCTCTCTGCTAACCTGCCTGCTGAGAGGCAGCAGAAAAAAAAAAACACCTTTCCAAAATAATTTACCGGGATTTTTAAAACTCATTTTATGACTTAGAAAATCCACATTCTATAAAAAGTCAGTCTGTGACTCTTTATTGTATTTTCTTAAGCCATTCTATTTCGAAATGGCATTTTCATAAAAACCAAGTGTTCAGGTTTCAATTCAAAGGCCCATAAAAAAAATGTGGCTCTTTTTTCTTTTTAAAGAGGGGGAAGGAAAGGAAGAAAAGGGAAAGGAAGGAAAAGAAGGAAAGGAAGAAAAGGAAAGGAAGGAAGGAATCACAAGGATTTCTGGAGGGTCAGCAGCTCCTCAGGTGTTTTGGGGTTTACTTTAATACAATGTACCTGAATTAGATAAGTGGTTTGTCATAAACTACCTATTAAATTTGATAAAAATCATATTATTTTGATTAAAAAAAAAAAAAGCCAAACCCTTCCAGAGAACCTCTCCCAGCCCTGGAGCCTCTCCTGTATCACTTTGCTCCATGGAATGTGCCAGAGTTTTGGGATGGGAGCTGCTGTTGCATCCATCTGGCTCCACAAAAAAAGCTTAATTGCTCCGTGTGGCTCTGGGAGCTGAGAGGCAGCTGGAGCAGCCAGAGGAGGATTCCCTCCATCCAAATTCCAGGAGAAATGGGAATAATTTACCTCCATGGAAAACCTACAGAGGACTGTAGGTAATCACATTCCAGTGGGAAAAGAGACAGGGATACCTGTCAGGATGAACTGGTGTTCAGTCTCTGGAAGAGGTGATGGCACAAATCTCTCTGATCTGGGGTAAAAATCTTGGGAATTTCCAAATTCACACTCTGGATACCTGGAATTTTGCACTGGTTGTGTAGGAAAAGTCCACATAAATTTTTAAAGCTAATTTTCATTGTCTAATGGATGAATTTAACAAATCCAGGCTGCTAAGAACAGTCCTCTTATATACATATATAATATACATACTATATACAATATTTTTGTGTATAATTTATATACTATATTAATATTATCTCATGAATTATACACTATATATTATACATTACATATATATATTTTATATGTATTATATATCTATTTATATACTTATATTTATACAGTGCAGTAAGATTTTCTCTGTGTGTACATTTAAATTAACATCAACTATGTATAAAAGGACATTGGGATTTTCAGGCATTAAAAAAATACAACTTTTTTCTTTGTTTTTTTTTTTTTTCTTTTTTTTTCCCCAGTAAATAACTTTTTCGTGGCAGGAGCTGGGGTTGCTGCACCAAAAATCTCTCCCATTTTTGGTGCTCTGACCAAAACACTCAGCAAATCCAAGAGGCAAAGCCCAGGACTGATAAGAACTCGAAAATGTTCTTTTAGGATAAGTCTGCAATAAAATACAGCAGCACATTTGGTAGATTTAAGGGGCTGTTTGTCAGCCTGTAAAACCCTCCCATATAGAACATATTCCTTAATGGGAAAAGCTCCTTCCTGACAAATATTCCCTTATTCCATCACTCCTTCTGCTGGAAAAGCTACTGTGAGCCACAGAAATTTCACATCCCATTATAAAAGCAGCTTTATACCCTTTTTTTTTTGATTTCTTTTCACCAATTCTTTAAACTTTATCACATTCCTCAATGCCAAGGAAGGCTATTAATTAGAATTAATGAAATTCATGATCAGTTTTCTGCTTTCAGGAAAAACAACCCCCAGTCCTTTTGCCTGTTTTAATTCTCATCCATTTTTTTTTTTTTTTATTTTGCCTTCCTGGAATTATAAAATTGGCCACCAGAATCTGTAGACAATTTTAGGGATGAATTGATACACCTGGGATTAGAATTTTTGTGGGTGTGCTGATGACTGAATTAAATTATATATATATATATATATATATAAAATACATTACATAATATGAATATAGAGAATATATTGCATAAGATAATTATATATAATCATAATTTCACTTTTTTTCTTCCCCTGACAAGAAGAATTTTAGTCACAGGCACAAACTCCATCACCTTGAGCTTCAAAAGGTCTTCAACGAGAGGTTTTTCAACCATTTTCAGGCAAAGAAAAAGGAGTGAACAAAGTCTGACCCATCCTCAGGGATTTAATTTGCTTTCCTGTTTCTCAGGCACCTGCAGAGTGAGACCCTCACCCACAAACCACAGCACTTGGGAGACACGATGGAAGGCAAATTCTGCAAATCCTAGCTTAAATCAAGTTTAAAATCAACTTTAAAAAATAAAGTTAAAAATCAAGTTTAAAAAATAAAGTTAAAAATCAAATTTAGCTCCATCCCTTCGAATTATCCCATCATGCAAGCCCTGCTGCTGCTCTCCTGAGAGATTTAACTCCTGTGGGAAGCATCCCAGGGCACATTCCTGTGATTGCAGCTCTGGAAGCTTTGCCTCCACATCACAAGTCTCAAAAAACTGGAAGTTAAAACCCTCTCTCACAGCCCCTTAAATTCAGCCCAATGTGTTGGTTCCTGTTCACTCCTTACTGAGTTGTCACCCTGAAAAGAGATTTCCCGTGGCAATATCTCTGTGTTTGCTTAAAACAAAGGAATTTGGGAGGATGCTGCATCTGTGGCGAGTCCCATATTATTTATAATTTGCTTCATCATTTCTACATCTCACCACATAAATCTGTTGTTCTCCTTGAAAGTCATTTAATTGTAAATCTCACTGCTTAATTCTCAGTGAGCAAAGCCAAGGAGATGTTGATCCACCCCACGCCTCTACTCACGTGGAAAACTTGTTCCTCTTGCCTCCCAGCCTGAAAAATATGAATATTCATTACAACTGCCACACTTGTCCACTGGCATTAATCAGTACATCATAATTAGCCAGGGCTTTCACTTTTTAGCACGCATTTTAATAACCCACACGGAGTGACCTGAAGAATTTTGAAGCCTAAAAAAAAAAGGAAGATACCAAAGGCTGCATTTTAAGGGTGACCTTTTGGCAAGGAGAGGCAGAGGGGACCAAACTGGGAATTCTTGCAGGCACTGCCTTTCACAGGCTCACTCAGACTGGGCTGCCCAGGCCCTTTGTCCAGGTGGCTTTTGAAAATCTCCATGGATGGAGACACCACAGTACGATTTATCCAGGGAAAATGGTAAAAAATTGAAAGACATCTCCAGGTTTGGTCCCTGCTGGTGTCTGCTGAGGAATCATAGACTCACTAAGGATGGAAAAGACATCCAAGGCAAGTCCAACCTCCAGCTGGATGCCACCACGTCCACTGAAACAATCACATCAAGTGCTGTCATCAAAGTGAATTGTTTTACCACCACAAAACCACTCCAACTTACTTTCTTCTCACAATATCTCCATTTAAAATTCCATTTATTCCCCCCTCGTCCCCTGGAATTTTCCCATTCGCACCAGACTCGCAGATCTCCAGGGATTTTGGCACCAGCCATATCCATCCCAGATTTCCAAGGCAGCACCTCTGACCAGCACTCCCGGTGGTAGCTGATGCCCCTGGAAATCTGCTGGAGCATCCAGATTCCAATTCCCTGCTGCCCCAGGGCAGGGCCATCCCCGCTCCACACCATGCCAACGAGCTCACTCGGCTCTGGCTCTACCACCCTGGACAGGCTCCACAGCCCAGAAATGCCAATTTTCGCTGCTCCTAAACCTTCCAGCTGGATCCTTCTAGAAAATGGGAGGCTCACTAGCAAGGATTTTCTCCCTGCCTGCCCTTTCCCTGTTTTCCCATCATCACTGCTGCTTTCAGAGAAGGAAAACTGATCCTTTCTGCTTGAGCTGCTGTTTGATGCAGAGGATTGGACTTCTCCTGGTGCTGGGCGTGGGACAAGTGGAACAAATTAAGGGGTAATTCCCATTATTTGGCTCTAAACTGATTTTGGAAAAAGAAATAGATGAGCTGATGACTGGCATGATGAGCAGATGGGCTGATGCAATGGTTTACAGTCAAGGAGGGATACAAGGAAATTTTCTTGGTGAATAAATATTCCTCAAGGGAGAGTTAGGACTGGATTTCCCTGTCCTGGGCAGCAAAATTATTATTAATATTACAGCCATTATTAGCTGCTTTTGCCCCACAGATTTTAGGGGGAAAACAGACTGTACCAACGTATCTGTGAACTCCAAAACTTCAATTCACTGCCCAAAAACTGCATTATCTCACCAATATCCATGGAGCTTTCCTTACTGAGGGCCCTGTCCCGGGAGGCTGAAATTCATCTGACCAGATCCTTGCAAGGAAGCACAAAATGTGACCCTTTGGAGGGTCAGAGCTGGTAACAATTCTATTTCTTCATCTCTGCAACAGCATTTATTTTTCCAAACAGGGAGAAAAACAATCCAGACTTATCACTCCTGGTAGGAAAACCTCACACTGAGAACTTCCCATGACATCCCTTAATCCGTTCCCTTGAAAACCAGCTCTGCCTTTGCCCACCTGGAAGTGGATGAACGTTTTCAACGTGTCCATCTCTCAGGAGTTTTCAAATTTGGGGCCTGAATTCCTACAAAAAAAACCACAAAAGGGAGATTTAAAACCAGCCCATAAATTTGGGGGAAGAACTGGGCACTTCAGGAAACTTCCTCGTTTCCCTTTGAGGCTCCTCTTTCCAAGCCCATTTGGAGTAATCCTGTTTTTTAATTTGGGAAGATCAGAGTCCCTCTGATAGAGGACTGCTCCAGGTAGTTTGGGATGTGGAAACAAGGAACCCCAACTCTGAAATTCAGTGTATTATTTACCTCCCAGTTGGAGCTGACACAGAGCTCAGCGAGTCGGGTGTTGCTGCCTCGTTTGGCAATTATTCCTCCTGACAGGTTGAAGGTGCCTCGTGCATGATAAACATTTAGGGGCTATTTTTTTTTTTTCTCTTTTCATTTGATTACGTGATTATTCTGCCTGATGGAGAGACTGATCCCTATCAACAGCCACACCATCCCTCTTTGGACTCAGTTACCACAGGGCTGTTTGGGGGGAAAGTAAAAGAGCTCTCCCTGGTTAAAACAAGCTGCTTTATTGATTTTTTAATTATTATTTTATCCAAGTTATTCTTGAATATTTTGGGATTTTTTTCATTTATTTTGGTGAAAAAAATTATATATTTTATCCAAGACCCCCAGCATCCCCAAATCAGTAGAGGAAAGGACCGATTTACAGGGACTAATAAAAACACAAAAATGTTGTTCATAATTGTCAAAAAGTTACAGCCCAATCAAATTTACAGCCCAATCAGATCGCTGGGGAGCAATTTTTTGATGCTGGCTTTCCCACTTTTAAAGTTCCATTTACCATCATTCCATGTGTTTTGATTGTAATGGATGAGCCTGTCATAACTCACTGCAACGTGAAATCACTCCCATTCTTGTTTCCTCGACTTCGGAGTTGAATTTTTGTTTGAGATCAAATTACCACTTTATTATTCGAAGCCTGATTCATTTAAAGCAGGCAGAGGTGAATGTTTGGCTTCTTTACCCTACATTTTGCTGGAAATTGAGTTGTTTTTCGTGTTACCTCCCCACAGCACAAGGCAGGGCCTTTGCCTTCCTTTCCTCAAGCGGAGAGATTTCGAACTTACCTTTTTAAAACAATCTGTATTTCCTCTTCCAAGCAGGTTCAGTTTCCAGCTCACATAAATTCTGTAGCTTTATATTAAGTCTTTCAACTCGGACAAGAGGGGGAATGGGAGACCTGTCCCTTCCCAGGGGAATAAACACTTGATTTCTGTGACCTTCCCCGGCCCAGGGACAGGCTCAGAGCTGCAACAGAGACAGGACAAGATAATGTGGAAAATGATGGACAAGATAATATGGACAAGATAAGAGAGGAAAATTCAGATTACAAATGTGTATTAATGGCAAAATAAAGCACAGAAGGTTGCAGGGGTGTTAGAACTGTGTAGCATTATGGTTTCAGGTATTTCTCCTGAACTGCTGGTTGATTTGTGTCCTGGGATGGGTTTTGCTCCTCTAGGGACACCCCACCTGCAGTTCTGCCTCCAGCTCTGGGGTTCCAGCACAGGAGGGATGTGCAGCTGTTGGAGCAGGTCCAGAGGAGGCCATGGAGATGCTCCAAGGGCTCTGGAGCCCCTCTGGGGCCAGGCTGGGAGAGCTGGGGGGGTTCACCTGGAGAAGAGAAGGCTCCAGGGAGACCTGAGAGCCCCTGGCAGGGCCTAAAGGGGCTCCAGGAGAGCTGGAGAGGGACTGGGGACAAGGGATGGAGTGACAGGACACAGGGAATGGCTTCCCACTGCCAGAGAGCAGGGTTAGATGGGATATTGGGAAGGAATTGTTGGTTGGGAGGGTGGGGAGGTCCTGGCACAGGTTGCCCAGAGAAGCTGTGGCTGAATCCCAAATTCCTGGTGACTGACACACTACGGAGTTAACACATCTTTTGGCCCTTTCCCTTCATACGGGTTCTCCTGCTTTTCTAACGAAATACTTACCTTTAAGCGCTCCCGTGGTGGAGGGAATGTCCAGGCTGGGCTCCTGCTCTGTCCGTGGGATCCAAGTGCCACCTTGTGTTCACACGCTGCATTTCAGGGAGCTTTTCCCTCCCGCATCCATCAAAACCACGGCTCCTGCATCCCACGGGAATGCTTGGAGAGGTGTTCGGGTCTTTTATCGCTGAATGAATAGTATATTGAAATGCCAGCAAAGCTATTTAATAATAAATACATCTGCAGCCTTATAAACGGGATTTTTTTTTTACACAATAAATTCTTTGTGCTTACCGTGCAAGGCTTCTGTAAATCCCATTTCCATCCCAGTCCCTCCAGCTGGATGCAGGAATGGCTGTGCTGGCCATCACCACCCTCATCCCTCCACCAAGAAAATGCCTCTCAGGGTAATTAGAGATGCCTGAAATTTTTATTTTTCAGGCAGGAATCAGAGGGATGCAGAAGGAGTTGAAAATTGTAGGTTTGCAGAGATAAATTATGGGTTTATAAGAGTGAACTGCTCAGGAATTAAAATCAGATTTCCTGGAAAGGCACAGCTGAGATGAATTACAAAGCTGGGAAATCTTAAGGAGAATCATGAGAGGTTCATAAACTTTTATAGGGAAATTTTCAATATTCAATAACTGAGCTAAATTTTAAAAGAGAAAAGACAGAAAACTAAACCAAAGTTTGTTTTTTTAGTGAGGATTAAAGCAAATATTTCGGTGATGCCCAAATCAACATATTTCTGTTTTATCATAGTAGGCCTATGTCTATCCTGCAAGAACATTTCATTTCCTTCAGTGTGGGCACCAAACCTAAAAAAGCTGTTGTTTTTCCACCTCTCCTCCTATTTTTCAGCCAAGCCCTTCCACGTGCGCTCACCTGGGAGAAGCTGGGGCTGCCCAAGGCCAGGTTGGAGCAACCACAGAACTCGTCACCCCCTGCCCTGGAGTTCGTTCTCAGCCACAACCCCCCCGTCACTGCTCTGCAGAGAACAGGTGTCCCAGATATGCTTCATCCCATTTTCCTCCTAATTGTGCCAAAATGCAGCTCCCACGGTGCGTGCCTGGGAGTGGGAGTGACAGACTGACAGGTGTTACCAGCGAGGAGCCGGTGTTTGTTTGGCTTTTCGGGCAGTCCAATAAAGCACAAAAGCAAGACAAAGCAGCAGCCTGTGCAGCTCGAGGGGCCCTTTGGCAGAGCCAGCCCTGCCAAATGCAAACCTCCTGAATATTTGGATTGGGCAGGAAAGAGCGTTGTCTGAACAGTTGCCTTTTAATGTGCTGTCACAGAGCTGATTGTTTATCGTTTGGTGCTACCAAACCCTCACCCCGTGGTTTATGCTCAGCCATCTCAAGTCTAAAGTCTTGAGGAGGTTCAAAAGTGGTGAAAAATGTCATTTGGACACTCAGCACAGAGCTGGGGCTGAGCATTCAGCTACCACTCCATTTGAGTGCTTGTTCTGCATGCAGAAAATGCTGATTAAAAAGGTAATAATTCCTTCCATGAGGTTAGAGAAACATAGAATTGTTTGGGGTGGAAGGAACATTAAGGATTATCCAGTTCCACCCCCTGCCATGGGCAGGGACACCTGCCACTAGTCCAGGTTGCTTCAGCCTGCCCTTGGACACTTCCAGGGATCCAGGGGCAGCCACAGCTTCTCTGCCCAACCTGTGCCAGGGCCTGCCCACCCTCCCAGGGAACAATTCTTCCTTAATCTGTTCCAAACCCTGTCAGCTGGAAGCCATTCCCCCTTGTCCTGTCTCTCCATGCCCCCAAAATCCCTCCCCATCCTTCCAAGTCCCTCTCTACAAGCCAGGCTCTAAATCCCAGATGCTGTGACCTTCCCTGAATCCCTCCCTGCTGGGATTGATCCCTCCTGAGCTTGGAGGAGGTAACCCTTGAATATGAACCAGCTTTCTTCCCTAGGGAAGGGAATGTTTGTCCCATGTTCCCACACCAAGCAGATGGGTTTATCAGATCAGTTATTATCAAAAGCAACAAACTTTCATAACATTACAGTTATTTTTTCCCCCCTTTTTTACATAAAATTCACATCTAAAATCCCAACTATCAGCTGAAGGGAGGACAGGAATCAGCAGCCACATTCGGCCTCGTGAAGGGAACCTGTTCCATGGAAAATCAGTGTATTCTCTGAAGGGAAGAAAGGATGAAAAAAAGAAATTTGCACAATAGATGGCAAGGAAAATCCTTGTTATTCCTGATACCTGCATCTCACCTGTGGGAAGAGTTAAATGGGACTTTGGTGTTTCTTCCAAGGTCAGTAAGCGCTGGTCATGCCTGGGACCTGTTCTACCTTAGACAGCAAAAAAAATTCATAGAAGAAACCTTAAAAGTTTAAAAAAAAACAAGGGAGAAGTTAAAATATCTGGGCCAACTTTACATCACTGTGATTTTTCCCCACTCTTCAATCCATCTCTTGGGAATCTTTCCTTTTTGGTGATGGGAATGGAAGGTGTTTCCCCAGGCCATGATCCTGCCCTGGACTCTGCTCCTGTGCTTCAGGCCAGAGATTATCCCTCTGGGGAAAATAAAAAAGGGAATAATTCCCAGGTTTAACTCTCTTTTCAGCACATGAATAACTGACCAGTTGGGAACCTGCCAGGATTCCTGTGCTTTTTACTATCAGTGTAAAAGTGATTTATCCAAAGACAAACAGAAAAGGGGGGAATTTATTCAGACGATTTTCCCCACAGTAAAGTTTGGGATGGAACAACTTGCAGGGGAAAATAAGAACCCCTGAGTGGTGCTGCTCATTCCTCAAGCTCCCCCTGAGCCCAACCCTCAGAGAAGTCTGAGAAAATGGTTATTTTTATTTTTCCTGCAACTTTTCACTTGGAGGTTCTGGCTGAGATCAGAAAGAGAAAGCTGAGTTCAAAATTTGCAAAGGCACAACTTGGGGTTTCTTGCTAAAAAAACCCAAACCTGTACAATATTTTTAGTTTTGACTCACCATCACATTCCGTGGATGTTCATCTTCACTGGAGCTGGACTTTGGAAATCCAGCCATGAAGGAAAATAAAATAGAGGCAGATGCTTCTGTCACTGCAGGACATCAGCCCTTTGGATAATGATGCTCTCAGGGGTGGATTTGTCATCACTTCCAGAGCTTTCACATCCATTTTTGTGGCTCTTCTTTCTCTTGACCTTGGCTCTGATAAATTCCTCTTATCTGTTTCTTACCAACATCTCCTCCTTTCCCTGTTGCAACCCCATCATTTATGGGATTCTTGGGTTTTTCAGGGAGAGGGAGTTGCAACTCAGACATAAAATCTTCCTCCAGCTCAGCAACAGAACAGATTCTCAGCCTGGAAATGGTTGCAAAGAAATATTAACCAAAAAAATCATAGATTTTTTTTTAAGTTAAAGCTTTTTTTAGCTTTTACTTCTGTAACTCATAGAAGGTCTTGATTTTTTTTTTTTTTAATTAAACAGTTCAGCTCTTTTTAATAATAAATTCAAGTTAAAAATTATAGATTAAAGGTAACCCCTGGAAATCCATTTCTAGGGTCTCTTTTCTTCAGACAGCTCCTCCTAATTCCTTGTTCCATTGCCTTTATGAGTGAGATCATCCCTAAGCCCAGCTCAGAACAGCTTCCACTTGCACCCCTGTTTAGACTCAGCCTAGTGAGCTGTGCCCTCCAAAACTCTGCCTCTCCTCTGCTTTCCTAATTTACATCACTGCCAACTTTATTTCATATCATGTTTTGCCCAAACTACTTCTGAAGGATTCCTGTCGTAGTGGAAGAGCCTCAGTTCGTGTTTAAACAAAAGTCTAACCCTCAGGTTATGGGAAAAAGACCAAAAATCCAAGTCCTAAAGGCTAAAAACTTCAGGCCATTTTAATTTCTAATAATTCAGAATGAATTCTCATGGGTTTTAAGCGTCTCTGGTGACACAAGGAGGACTTTTTGTGCCTTTGAACATTTACAACCCTAGAACAGCCCAGGATCTTGGAAAATCACCTGGTCCAACCTTACCTGGGATATTTTTGTTGCAGAAGGAACGAGGCACAAGATTCACTCCTGCTACAAAACTAATTTTACAAGCTTGTTAATTAATTTTTAACTGTTGAAGGTTACATTTTATTTCTTAATTGGAACTTCATAAAGTTCATAAAGAAAACTTAATAATGTTTAAGTTTAGAAACCTCATTCTGTACTAAATTCCATGATTTGGATTAGACTGAGTTTAGGTTTGAGTTTAAAAACCCCTCAGAGTGATTTCTAATAGAAAAATTGAAATATACTCTTTTTTTTTTTTTTCCACTGGAAACACCATACACCCTGCATTTCAGGGTTACTTGGGGTTCAAAAAATGATGCACCACGAGTGAGATTTGGACTGTGATAAGTCCCAGGAGCTGTTGTTTTTTGTTATTCCCTGTTATCTTTTGTCAAAAGCATGGTCATAATTCCCTTTGAGGAGTTTTCTGAGCCCAATCCCGTTCTCCAAGGCAGCCTCTAATGGGTTGTGTCACTCAGTCCACGCTCAGGTTTAAAAGGCAGCTTCTGCAGCCAAAGCACAACACAAAAACATCCCCATGCTGAGCTGAACACGAGCAAAACACAGCCCAAGGAGCTGTGCTCCAAAAATCATTATTTTTATATTAAACTAGGCCTTCATAATGTCATTAAAAATTTAGGTCAAGCACATGATGTCCAAAGGTTCTCAAGGAACACAAGGATAAAATTATCTGCCAGGAATTTATGTCCACCAGTGGGTAGCAGCAGGTAGCAGATAATTGAAAAGTGGCTTATCTCTAATTACTCTGCTATATCCTCCTTACAGCCACATTAGGGGGAGCACACAAGAACCACACTTAAATACTGGTGAGCCTGATGTAAAAAGAACATTTGGAAATGGTGATACTCTTATTTTAATCCGTGTTTTGCAGAAGCAGCTCTGCAAAATCCTGTTTTTTATGCTGCATCCATGATGTTTTCTGAGCCGTCCACAGCACTACACATTCCCTGATGTTGCTGCCTCAAATATACAGACTTTAATTCAACTTTACCTTTCCTCTTTTTTTTTTTTTTTTCTACTTTCTGAGTTGGAGTCATTCTATTTTTCCTGCAAATAAAAGTGGTTTTATGGCTTGAGGTATTGCTGGTTATGAGTAACCCCGAGATGCTCTAAAACTCCAAAACTATTCTGGGCCCTTTCTGCGAATGTCTTTGGAGCTGAGGACATTCTGATCCATCAGCAGCAGATGGCCCTTAGCTACAGAAGTGATTCCAACACACAGCTTCACATTTCATTATTGCAAAGTTCAAGTCTAAGAAATTGCTTTTTTCCTTGTTAGGCAGAGCTATAACTTCTCCTTAACCACTGTAGCCCCAAGACCAACAATCTATCACTTCATTACAGCTGCTCCTTCCCTTCCCCAGCCTTCCAGAACGCTCTGCCCACGACAACAGCAGCATTTTAATGTTGTTGTGGCTTTTCTCTGGTGGGCAGAGGTGGTGGCAGCTCCTGTTTGCCAAAAACAACCACGCCAAGATCGTGGAATCACCGAAAGGTTTGGGTTTGCTTGGCAGCCTTTCCTCCAATTCCTTTAACCAGGCTTTTAGTTCTGACTTCAGGGTCCTGAACATCCCACCAGTGGTTTTTATCCATGCTTATGGTTCACTGGTAAAAAATCCATATTAAATCCATTTTATCCATGCTAATGGTTCACTGGTAAAAAATCCACATTAAATCCATTTTATCCATGCTAATGGTTCACTGGTAAAAAATGGGTTTTAAACAGGAACGTTATCAT